CGTGTACAACGCTTCGAGAGAGACTCTGATGGCCGATATATCGCGCATCCCCCGTGCTATCATCCGCATAGCAATGCATGCCATCAATAGATAGCATGTCATTGATATGCAGTATGAAAAGCGTGGGGGAGAGCACCGAACCTTGTGGAACACCAGCGTTGATATCTTTTAAATGTCATATTATGAATGAATATCAATGATATATATCAGGTATGGAATATGGAATTGCTATCCCACAATTCACACAGCGATCCATAATTTCAACAGTATCCAATGCAACAATTTCAAGTCAAACGTGTGAGCGATCTTCGGTGTCCAGTGTAGAAGCAATTGTCGTACAAGGCTGGCAGAGTTGGAATCCGTAATAATAAAGCAGTGATCGTTGAAAATATAAAAACAGTCCGATAGATACACACTCAAAATGCGTCGAAGATACAAAGCGAGTAGAGCAGAGAAAACCAACAAACGCCAAAAAATAATTGTATAATCTATGAACAAACGTCATGTCAGCTTACTGTCAAAGCTGTCATCAAAAATACAATCGATTTTAATCGATTTGAAATCGATAATCATATTATTTTGTTAAGTAATAATAGACTTTTTCTTCATTTTTGTATATAATCGCAATTAAATCCGGCGTATACCGCACTTGTATACAACAAGTATAAATTGCTCATTTGATTACTTTGCTTTAATTACCTAGTGCAATGTTTTTCTTTTTATAATCCTGTAATCGATTAATTAAATCGATCACACCGTTATACCGACAAAAACTAACATTCTCATTTTTCTCCGGTCCCAGAAAGAGGATTGAGGTGATTTTTTATATTCTTATATAAAAAAATATGGCAAATTTTTTAGACTACATTCCAAGTTATTACATTTTTGGCCCACGATTTTCCGTCTCCTTTCGCCAAGACTACATACACTATAGAAAAATATTAGTAAAGACAAATTTAATCTATTCTCAATTTGACCACAGACGTCAAGATCAAAAGTTTTATAATAAATAGTGTGCATGCGTGTGTTCGTCAAATACATGGTAGTGTGTGTAATGTTTTTTTTATTGATTTAATGTATTTTTTAGGCATAATTTAAAAAAATATTAACATTCTGCACTACTTCTCTATATTCTCTATAAGTGTGGGAAATTTCATACTCCTCCGTCCGCGCAATTTTCGTAAAAAGGGATACAAAGTTTTTCCTTCACGTATTAATATGTAGATTTTCATAAATCGATCGCCAAAGAATGTAATTTTGAATTTTGAACTCACCCACGACACATTCGCATTCCTGCTGCTCTACGAGCATCACGCAATATGCGAGCATTATTAAGTAAATTAAGCCCGCTTTTTGCACCCCTATCGCATAATACGACAGTTTTTATTATTATTAAAAGTACTCGCCTCCCTTTCGCCGCTGAAATAACCATTGAGGAACCCTACCGCTGACGAGGACTAAAAGAACAGCAGGTGAGTGAAGAGTTTAGTATTCTCTAATTCAAGCTGTACTTTCCCAGCATAACTGCGCCGCTGAAATACCGCCTGTGAGAGATCCCTCAGCGATGGGCACGATCTTCACTGACTTCCATCCGGGTCGTATGCCTGTCAGTCTTTACGAATAACACAAAACCTTACGTGAAATCACAAAACTCACCCTTGGCAATTCCTTCGCAGGATTACGATTGATATTCCCGATGTAATGAACGTTCTGCGGCAAAGGACGGTTATTGTCCCACAACGGGTTCAAATTCAAGAGCATGGCGTCCACGTTCCTCCTTAAACTCCTGAGAGGAGGTGCATCATTGAAAATACCTTTTAAAATCTCATCCTCTCTGGCCTCGTTCGCATCAAAAACCGATTGCACGTGTAGATATCTAAGTATTTCGCTAATCCTTTCCGAGGTCGTTAGGTCGTAGATCTTCTGATGAAATAACGAAGGGTGATAAGTCCAATGGTTGGGCAGGCCCATGGTTTCAGGGTTACCAGGAGCAGTGCCCATGGAACTGACCAGCAGCACTGGAACTTTGTACAGGTACGACCAGATCAATATCGGTCGGAACCAAGCTTCTAAAATTAGCAGATCGAATTGGGTATTACGGATCAATTTCTCAACATCCGCCAAACGAAGTTGCTCTGCAAATATCTTCGGCATAACCTCAAAAGTAACATTTACGCCGTCGTAAATAAATTTGTCTTTCCCGAATTTAGCTATTGAAAATTCCGGGCTCCACATCGAGTAAGAGATGGGACCCGTGTCGATTTCCGTGAGGTTCCGTGGGGTATCTCCCTTCGGATACGCTGGGTTCGTGGTTATAAATGTTACTTGATGGTTCTTGATTAGCTCTTCGATTATTGGGCGGAAGATCAGCTGATGGCAGTATGACGGTGTGGGCACGACAATAAGAATCCTTGCCGTGTGCGTGTGCGGCGCACAAAAGGCTAACGCTATGACCACCCTCAGGATCATGGTGTACGTTTCGCACTGTGGCTTCACCAGCCTTTGTTATCTACTAGACTGTTTTTGTTTATGTACCCACTACTATGTTGAATTCGAAATATATATTTGGATTACACAATATCATGCGATTGTGTTCTTCGTTTTTAATACTACTTTAAAGTTGTTGCATTCAAATGACTCGAGAAGTGGCTTTTTTTTCTTCCGAGCGTTTTCCCGGTTTGGTGCCAGGGTCGGCTTTTCTAATTAAGCTCTTTCACTAACGCCCGGTCTTCGACATCCTTCTGGGTGGGGTCATTCTCCTCCATATCCGCTTTTACCACATTCAAGAAGTGTAAAAGTACCCAAATCGTCGAAAGCGATATAATGACAATAAGAAATGCAAGATTAAACAGTAAAAGTATGTGGTGTTGTTTATTGTCACCGGAATCTATAGGACCAAAGGATCTAATGGAGCATCCACCGTCGAGTCGCAATTCTNAATGACAATAAGAAATGCAAGATTAAACAGTAAAAGTATGTGGTGTTGTTTATTGTCACCGGAATCTATAGGACCAAAGGATCTAATGGAGCATCCACCGTCGAGTCGCAATTCTATACTATACCTAATGATTGTTTCTTCAAATCGGAAGGCATGGCGGTTTAGCGGCATAAATAGGCTATAGTTATACTTAACCGGGCTTACAAGACTAAGTTAACCAGTTATTACGGGAAATTAAAGCTACAACGAATTTGGTATTTATGACACGATCTTATTCCTTCACCGTTAAAGCCATTCGTGAGCATTTGTTAAGATCCTTTGGTATCTTTGAAACCGTAGTTAAGGTACCTGCCAACCTATTAATATCCCACCATACCCATGAAAGTTTATGCAAGCTTTTGATTTATTTATTTCTTATTGCTTAGATGGGTGGACGAGCTCACAGCCCACCTGGTGTTAAGTGGCTACTGAAGCCCATAGACATCTACAACGTAAATGCGCCACTCACTTTGATATATAAGTTCTAAGGTCTCAGTATAGTTACAACGGCTGCCCCACCCTTCAAACCGAAACGCATTACTGCTTCACGGCGAAATAGGCAGGGTGGTGGTACCTACCCGTGCGGACTCACAAGAGATTCTACCACCAGTACAAGCAGGATGGTCGTGCCTACCCTCGAGCTCACTATACGAGGAACAATACAAACAATACTGCTACTACTTCATATGGTTCACTTCAGGTTACTTCACTTGGTTTTATTAGATACTTTATTTGGCGTGAGAATTTTGGTCCATTTGGTTATTTTTAATTCTGGGAACCGTGTCTCGATACGAGCACACATTACGTCTTATCCATTAGGCCACTGACGTTTGGTCGGATGTGGCGCCGCGAGTCTGGTTTGAGTGTTGACCGTGGGAACACCTTACTCCGCCCGGTTTCTGACCTCGGGCTCAGATCGGACGTTGAATGTGAGAGTGCAAAGGGAGTCGTTTGGTAGGTAAGACCCTTAACCATCTTAGAGCCCACGATCCGCTCCCAACATCCGGGGACCTTAAAGACTCATACAGCCCGCGCGGTCTCTAAGCACGGAACATATGGGTTTTTTTTTTCTTTCCTATATTGGTGGACGAGCTCACAGCCCACCTGGTGTTAAGTGGTTACTGGAGCCCATGGACGTCTACAACGTAAATGCGCCACCCACCTTGAGATGTAAGTTCTAAGATCTCAGTATAGTTACAATCGGATAGGATCGGCCTTATGCCCGAAAAAAAATCATAAGCATCTCATGTTATTATACTAGTGCTGCTTGACATAATGTAACCTAAATTGAATTGTGCTTAGACATTCGCTGACGTACGAGCGTATTATAAAATTAATTTATATTCAAACGTATGTACGCTCTGTGTACACAGCTGAGAATATTAGTAATCTAATGCATATTTCAATTTTGTTTTTGTTTTGAATGAAGGATCCGTTCGGTTTTATTTTGCGGGTTTCTTTACCAGAACCCGGTCGAGCGTATCGCTGCGTGTATGCCGCTGATCTATGGGTCATCTATGGGTCAAAAGAGCCAAATATAGATGGCACACAAATGAAATTTATTCAAGATCCACTCGCGAAGCAGTTGACTTTGTTATTGCTTAGATGGGTGGACGAGCTCACAGCCCACCTGGTGTTGAGTGGCTACTGAAGCCCATAGACATCTACAACGTAAATGCGCCACCCACCTTAAGATATAAGTTCTAAGGTCTCAGTATAGTTACAACGGCTGCTCCAGCCTTCAAACCGAAACACATTACTGCTTCACGGCAGAAATAGGCAGGGTGGTGGTACCTACCCGTGCGGACTTACAAGAGGTCCTACCACCAGTAAACCAGGTATCCGCCGGAACGCCGTCGACCATCGCCACGACGATTCCGTCTGCCGAGCAGTCTCGCGAGAGTCACTTATCTGGTACTTTCTCAATTGTTTAAATAGTAACAAATCGCTCCGAAAAGTAACCCTAACAGTAATTTTCAATGAAAAATTCGCTTCGAGCATATCAAAATATTTACGATTATTCAATATTATTTAAAAGAATCAGTGTGTCTATCTTACAACATGTTAAAATTAGGACAAAAGCCGGGAAATTCCATTTGGGCCGCTGGTTAACATCCAACCAAGCCTGTATGTATCACCCGATTTAATCGTTAGGTCGTGACTTGGGGATTATCGGTAATAAGCCTTCAAATTATAGTCTTCTAGGCTGAATGTGGACAATTACGTTCACCACGGCACGGGGCTATATCTGAACGCGGAAACAGTTACTGCTGGGCAGTTAAGAGAAGGATAAGACCTCCGATGCATTCGTGCTGAGCGATGCACCGGTGTTCGAATCTCAGGCGGGTACCAATTTTTCTAATGAAATACGTACTCAACAAATGTTCTCGATTGACTTCCACGGTGAAGAAATAACATCGTGTAATAAAAATCAAACCCGCAAAATTATAATTTGCGTAATTACTGGTGGTAGGACCTCTGGTGAGTCCGCGCGGGTGGGTACCACCGCTCTGCCTATTTCTGCCGTGAAGCAGTAATGCGTTTCGGTTTGAAGGGTGGGGTAGCCGTTGTAACTAAAACATGAGACCTTAGAACTTATATCTCAAGGTGGGTGGCGCATTTACGTTGTAGATGTCTATGGGCTCCAGTAACCACTTAACACCAGGTGGGCTGTGAGTTCGTCCACACATCTAAGCAATAAAAAAATAAAAAAGCCATTCTGGAAGTCATAGAAAATGATAGGCTGGTGAATTGTTCCAACTGTTTCCCGACCGGTCGAATACTAAATGTTGACTTTATTTTAGTATTTTAAGTTTAGTCAGTAGACCGAGTCATCCGCGAACAAGGCCAACCCCACATTATCCGTCCACCCCCAAGGTGACCCTTCAGAGTGGGGATGTCGTTTGTGTAGAGGGCGTATAGGGGGACAGGACACTTCCCTGCGGAACCCCGGCCATTATGGGACGCACGGAAGACCGTGCGCCCTTGATCGCGACAACGAAGGTTCTACCCTCCAGGTACTACCCAAGCAGTCACACGTGAGCGTCCCGTAGGCCTGCGTCTCGCAGTTTTCGGTTCAGCCCTCGTGCCACACACTGTCGATATCGGGAAGAACCGCTACCGTGTATTGACAGAACATGGGTCAATTGCAGAGTCGTTGACCGGCCGAATCTACAGCCGAATTGCTCCGGCCTGAGGAGAATATATGGCGATAGTCTCCTCAGGAGATTTCGATCAGGAGAGATCGATAGTCTCATCAGGACGATTGCTTATTGTCTATATTTCACCCTTTTTGTTGACAAGGTCACCATGCATGGTCTGTTTCTGGCAAAGAAGCCCGCAAAATGTGAACGAACTAATGTTTCATTCAAAACAAAAACAAAGTCGAAGCATATAATAATATATGCATTATTAACATACTCATCTGTGTACACAATGCGTCCATATTTATACAAATAAATAAAATTGGAGTGTCTGTTTGTAGTAATAAAATAACGAATTATTATGATTATTAAGTTGTTTTTTTTCGGGACTGGATCCGAACCTCCTACGAGGTCCCCGCGCCTAGAGGGCGCACGGGGTGTATGGGACTTGACGATCTGCAAGGTGTTGGGAGCAGACCGCGGACCCAAAGAACTTGAGGGCCCTACCCACTAAATGACTCCCCTGCACTCTTCCCCCAAGGGTCCGATCCCCTCCGAGGTCAGAACTCGGATGAGGTAGGGGGGTTACCGCGGTCAACACTGCAACCAGATAGCGCAGCTCACCCCAAGGACGCCCAGTCGACGTTTCAGAGCCTTCGATTCGCCTCGAAGGCTCCGTCTCGCTACGGCAGACGGTGCCGCTGGTGTCCCGGAATACCCCGCTGGACCAGAACCAGCCTGCCGGGTCGGGACCTGATACACCGCCAACCGGTTGCTCTATTATAGATACTCCTTGGCAGCGCGCCAGAGTGCTGGTAGCGCGCCGCGCGGCCTCTACCCCCTTAGGTCGCCCCTTGACCTTCACCGGGGGGAAGCCGCCACCTACAGGGATGTATACACAGTACATAAACATTTTTTTTAAATTTTGTCTCTCTGTCTGTTTGTTCCGGGGAATCTCTAGAACGGCTGGACCGATTTTGACGAGACTTTCACTGATGGGTAGCTGATGATATAAGGAGTAACTTAGGCTACTTTTTTTTAGAATAGCTTCGCCCCGCGGCGTTACCCCCGGTACGACAATAACCGCGAGTAACATCGCGGGACTCAGCTAATATTAGAATATAAATTAGTTTTGAAACACAATTATTCGTCAGGGAATGTTCAAACACAATCCAATTTAGGTTACGCTATGTCTAGCAGCACTAGTTTACAACGTAAATCGCCTAATGTGCCTAAAGTGTTGCCTAAAGTGTAGTATCGATACACGATTACCAGATTTAAAATTCCAGGCTTCGATCAGCGCTCTCGTAGGAAATAACCGAGTAATACAAATGTACAAATAAACCACTTATTAGCAATACCGTTTTTG